TCAAACTGCGACATGTCGGCAGTCTCGCGCTTGATCATACATTCCTCAAGAAGATGTCTACGGGCAGTGGCTCAAACACATCTTGACGGAAGAAGAATGGCCACAAATGTTTGGTGGAACTGCAACGGTCAATGAAGAACGAGCCGGTGACGCTGTGGAAGTGTGCCTTGCAATGCTCTTCTTCGCCGCTCTCTACCCGCGTGAGTTCAGGATTACAGTGGAGCCTCTCACTGATACAGCGGAGCCTCCCACTGTCTTCCCAGGGCTAATTCCTCCACAACAACCGCGACAAAAGGAACGTCCTGCGCCCTGCGCCCAAACAAAAGGATGATCTACCTCCTACATTTGGACTCGGAGAGGATGCGCCAAAAGCTCCCCAGGGTTTGACCAGGGAGTCAAAGTCGAACAAAGTCAGCAACACTCAGAACCTCAAGAAACAGGTCCCCATGATGGATTATGCGGAGCCCCGACCTTTCGATGACGCGCACTTCGTCAAGCCTGAAGGAGGTATTGATTGGGTAAGAGGGGTTGAGCCCATGTCCGGAGGTGCCAAGAGCATAAGAATCATTTGCGAACTGGCTACTATGCTACAGAGGAATGAGGATACTGAGCGCAATGATTACGACTGGCGCCTCTAAGTACCTCAAAATTGGAGAACGCCCATACGCCAATGCTGTTCTCATGAAGCCCGGCCTTACAGCCAGAGCGCGTTTCAGCGATCAGTCGCATCCCAAACTTGGGACAGAAAGGATTGAATCTAGCCCTTTCTACCCTGATGAGATTTACCACGTTGGCAAGAGGCTCTCAATTTGGCTGCGGCATGAGCTCCTGAGAGGCGGTCATGCGACAACGATTGATAGGGGCGGATGGGCGTCAATTGATGACTTGATTCAAGAAGAACACTTTTGGTACAGTGTCCATCGCGAGCTCGTCAAACAGGGCTACGAACTCCGTAAGAAGCCCGGAAACAGATTCCTCTTCGTGGAGGAGGACATGTCCGGATATGATCCACCTGCTCCAGATGAGATGTTCTACTTGTCGTATGCCATTACAACAGCCATCGAGAACGGGCTCTACAATTGGAGTAGCCACAAAGGAAAGAAGCGTATGGAGTTCGTTAGTGCCAGATTGAAGCCTGATACCACGAGTGAGGACTTCGCCATCCTGAAGAAACAGTTGGGCAAGCCGGCAAGCCTGTTGACGTCACGGATATCCGGCGTCTGAAGGAGAACCCGTTTCTTGGGTGGATTAGACCCCTCGCTGTCAGGTGCATCTCTGGGCATTCCAAGGGAGCGGTGGACCGGACCTCGAACTTACAACGGTTGCCATTTCCGAACGGGTCAAGCACGCAAGTGGTGGTGCGTGGCGCGTGACAAGTAGACACGTATTGAATTGGATTGCGTGGGCCGGGCTCCTACCCGGCGGCCCAGGCACTGGCGATTGGACGTACATTTTTCATCCTATCCTCCATGGGACAGCAGGTACACTTCGAACTTCACCAACCGATTTGCGAAGGAAGGAGAGAAGGGCATTGCGATCTACGTACCCATCAGCACATTGATCGACCTTGGCGCGAGACTTGCTTCGAATGGCGTGATTCTTTGTCGAAACAAAGTACCATTTTCTGCCATCCATGCCATCTTCGCATTGTCAGGTGCTCGTGGAATGGGCGAAAGGCTCCAGTCGCCGTCACTCATGGATGAGTACGTGCGTGAGTCCGTTGATGGGGAAGATTGTGTGCAGGCCTCACCGCAGTTTGTTGCCAAGGTAGCGGACCGCTTTCGTGCTGATTTGAACATTCCGTTCACGTGCAGAAACAATGTTGCCACAATCTCGAGGAGGATCCCTGACATGCATCCCAATGTGACTCAAACAAAGGACCTCATCAACAACATTAACATTACCAGGGCCATTGTTTACAACCCGCATGAACATGAATGCAATTGCCGGTACTGTCCATGGTGCTTGCACCTTACACCATACACCTGCAACTCTTGTGAGGTGTGTTCGCTGCAATGCTGCCCTTATCTCCGTCGGTCGTTCATGGATCAGGGTAGTCAGGGTATGCCCCGCTCCCTGGATTCAGAGATCCTCATCGAAGTCGATGATGTGAGACAGTCGAAACTGCACAGCGCAGCGTTGTCCAGGATGAAGTTGCCGATGAGCTACAGCTCATCGAAGAGAGCGCAGCAGAAATCGATCTCGATGCACTTCATCAGTATTCATCAGGAAAAGCTGGCGAAAGACACTGCCAAGAATGTCGATGCGTATGGGGAACCAGATGACTACAGCAATGAATACATCACGGTTTCGCGTCAGTCAAGCACCGAGCCTCCAGCATTGTGCCTAAACACGGAAGAAATCTCCAAAGTTTTTGACGAGATCATGGGATACCTGATATTCCAGCGCCAAGACATTCTTGACGACTTTCTGTCACTCAGCTTTTCAGAGATGAAGGCCGGGATGAACGAGAGAAGAACGCCGTTCACGAGAAGATAGTTCTTCTGTCCGGCCTACATTCCTACATTGCAGAGGACACAGTGCTGCCCCCTACGAAGGAAGAATATTTGGACTGGGCCACAGGCGATGGAAGGGCAGCCTATCAGGCGGAACGTGAGCAGTGGATGTGGGATCATTGGGATCAGAAAGGGGGTTCGTCCCTCTTGCTCTATGACAATTTGGAACATTGCTATGAGGCGATTCGAACGCATTCATTGATCTGGAAGCTCTATTTTTGGGCGTACACCACGATGAATGTCAATGAATTCCTCACGCCCTTTATCGCCGTCAACTCTGATGGAATGCGCGCCATTCGCCCGAACACTGGGGAGGGTCATAGGGATTGATCAGCTCGCGACCTCGATTGCTCTATTCCAATGCATTGGGGATCAAGAAGTTTCGCTATATGGCTTTGAAGAACATGCCTCCGAGGTCATCAAGGATGGTGTGTATCACATCTGCATTGAGGGACTTCTTGAAGCGCAACAGAAGCGCGAGCGCCTGAACCCCGAGGCTCTATTCATATGTCAGCATATGGGTGCACAGTTCAACAAAGAGTACCAGGCTCGGTACGTGAAGGTTCTTGTGAACACAATCAATGGTCAGATCACTAACAAGAAGAATCGTGAAAATGTGGAGGATTGGAAGAAGGAGGCAAGGACCACATTATTTCAAGCCGGATTACAGGCATTGCAGAACCAAGTCCAATCTGGCAATCGCTATGATCCTACTTTCGAACCCTCTACATCTTCCTTTGATGTGATGGATTGATTCGGCGACGATGGAGTCACAACGCTATATGCCTGAGTCTCATCGCCATTTTGGTGTGTTAGAGACTGAGTTTTGCACCTAGGGTTTGTCCCGGTGCCGCCGGAGCATAGCATTTGTGTTCTCACCATGGTCGCCCAGGGTTTTATCCGGCGTAACGTCTCACTGTCCTAACGTACTTGCTACCTTCTTGTGTGTGTATTGCACAAAAAACTGGAGCTCCTGCGTGCGTCTCACACAATGTGAAATTGCTCATCGACGTGGGGGATGTTAATTCCTATGCATATACCTAACCCACAAGCGAGCTTGTATGTGTAGCATTCGTGTATTGCTTGTAATTTGTGTATTTGGCTCAAGGCTCAATCAGGCCTTACCTCGATAGCTAGGGGTAGTTACCTCCTTAGCATTATGCATTGAGGATACACTGGCAAGCATACACGTTGAAGTGAGCTCGTGAGACCGCCATTGAGAAAAGAGTGTGAGCGATCAACCTTGAAGGATTGTGCTGTGGTGGATTATTTCTACCTACTCATACAGTCAACCTTTTACATGCGGTTTGCTTGTTGTGGTAGGTTTTGGACAGGAACAGTGCAACCACACAGAACCATCTATGTGTGCCAATAGCCTACCGTGGGTACTTGCGAACAGACTTCTGCATACTTCGAATGCCGTGGCATATCAGGGCTGTCTGCTTTGTTTAGCCACTCTAGCAATCACATCCCACACTGAGTCAAGCTTAGGGGCCCTAGATTTTGTGTGAGTGGGTGACACGCATCGCTCCACACAAAATCATTCGACCCACAAGGATGATCCATTTTGCTGCCACTGGAAAAGGCTCGCTTGCGCTGTGGATTCAAGTTGGATTTATTTGTTTGTGTTCATTTCAGCGTGATAGGTTTTAAAAATGAGTACGTATATTGTATGCAAGCACAACTATTGGGGTAGAACTGAAAAAGACGCACTTGCAAGAAGCTTGGATCACGCCCTTCATGTGGGGGTGCAACTTGAGGCCAATCTTGTGGAAGGTTTCGCTTGAGGCTTAATGGAGGAGGGGCAAGGTAAACCGAGCACGGGGCATGAAATCCACATTGAACAAAAACAGAACTGCGCCGCATTGATCTCAACACTCTTTATTGCTGAGTTGAATGTTTGTATATTGATTCTGCCAAGATAACATTTTCGAGGATTCCTATTGCATCATCACAATTTGTTTTCTCAAGTTTATTGCTGGAGATACGTGAGAAATTTGAGTGAATTGCAAACAAATGTGGGTCATAGTCTGAATCATACTGCTCGTAGCCAACTCCTTGTAGAACATTATGATCCAATGACATGGGCATGTTGTGGCCGGCTGGTGACTTTTTGTTTCAAGTTGCCAATCCACAGTGTTGTGAAACGGTTTCATTGTTGCATTCGACACGAATTAGATTCACCACCCCTCTTTTGTGACTAGGAAGTAATTTGCTCGTGAATGTTTGTGTGCTCCAACTATGTAGTTGTTTTCATTGCGATTGCCATGGAGCTTACATCCTGGTGACGGTGGCTATGTGGCATGACAAGGCCCAAACCAAGAATGATTGTGGTCTGGCAGCGTGTTGCATTGTTGTGTTGGGCAGAATTAAGTGGTTCCCCACTTCAAAAGCATGGCTTACGAGTAAGTTACGCACATTTCGATAAGAGGTAAAGTCTATGTGTTGGGGAACTTCCATGAGTTCCCGTATGAAGCGTGCCAGCCGGCGGTCATCATTGACAACGGTTCCGGTCACGTCAAGGCTACATATGTCGTATGCTTTCCGATGTTGCATAAGTTGTAAAATTGTGCGGCAGCTGCGTACAGGCCGGTGTTGCGGGCGAGGAGGCGCCACGGTGCGTTTTCCCAGCCGTCGTTGGCAAACCAAAACATGCCGCGATGATGCCAGGCAAGGTCGTTTGCGATTTCGTATGCGTGGACATGACGGAAAAAGGATACTCCCAATTGCAGGTAGTGACAACAAGGAGTATTACCTTGGCGAGGAAGCTGTTGGCAAGCGTGGAGTGCTGTGCTTGTCTTATCCGGATGGGATCTCAGTTGCAGCTTTTGTCATGACAGTATTTGCAAAGGTGGCGGGTGCACGTATGCGTCGGACATGCGATTTCTGTGTATCTATCGCCCATAGATGACATGAGCTTCCTGGGCTGCTGTACACCCATTTGCTTTAGCAGGCCAGCGGCACAACCCTGGTCGGCTTCAAGCAAATCGTCTAACTGTTTTTCGACACGGTTGCTGCTTCAGGTACCCAACCACACGTCATAAGTTGCTGGTATGTCGTGTAACTGAACTCGTTTGGACACAACTACTGCAATGGGTTGCTAAGCCTCCCCTGGGCGCTGAATCCACAATACAGGTGCGGACACGCGGAAGAAATTGGAACAAATCACCAATTTCATCCAATTTCAGGTCGGATTCAGAGCCTAGTGTTGCTTCCGTTAAAAGAAGCTGAACCAGCCATGCCATGCCAAGATGTTGACAGTTGCGCATTATCACATTTTTTTGTTCCCCAAATCCCAAGAGCAGGCAGCAACAATCGAACATTAACAAGAATGAGCAAACACTAGCTGAATCCTTGGATTACCAAGAGCCTGGACACACCAAATTGTTACCTCTGCCCTGTTTCCCCAAACCTCCTCAAGCCCGGAATTGCATGGTGGACCAATCCTCCCACCATGTTGCAAAACCTGGATTCGTACTGACCGTTGTAGTCAGCTACCGCTACCGAGATTGAGCATGGCATTGTCAAAGACTGGTCTGAGATGGAGAAGGCCTGCGTCACGCTTGAGAGAGGACAGGGCGAAGTGAGTTGATGGGAAGGTGTGGCATCACACCTTCTTCGATGCACTGCGCGTCAATCCGGAAGAACAAGCCTGCGTTGTGAGCGAGGCAGGATGTTTGGAGGCAGTTACGAGAATTCGGATATCCAACAGAGTTACCACAATGTCGTCAGGCACCCATGAACCCAAAAAAGAATCGAGAAAGAATGATCGAGATGTTGTTTGAAAAGTTGTGGCCTCAGGGTGCATTGCTGCAAGATCCATGTCTGATGAAAGCCATGGAGAGACTTATGCTGACCAGGTTCAGCTGCCCTGCTGCCTACATCGTTATCCAGGACTGGTCTTGACTTCTTATGACAAACCCAGAAGTTTTCCAGAGATTTCCATCATTCATGTGCAGCGAGAAGCAGATCCCAAAGTACATGCGGGTCTCCGGAGTCATACTGTAGCAAAAAGGTAGTCCTGGTTTGAGCCACATGGTTATCCTGAATGTCATGCATTAATAGGCGTATGTACAACACTGGACCAGTATCATGAAACTGGCATTTGTAGAGATAGATTGTAGTATGGAATCTAGGCCACACACTGTGCAGATGGATCTGCGGGCAACAGAGAGATTTCTCAGGATAGGAAGGTGGGTTAAGAGAAAGCCTGACAGCTGTTGTGATCGTGTTCGGATTGCTTGGGATGCGCGCAGCAGAGCTCCAGTTTGTTGAAGCTTTTGAGTAATGCCGCCTCACTTCAACAGATGCGCAGTTCCCATGGCCTTTGCTGCGTTCTTGGCTGCTGGCGTACTTCCTTCAACGTTGCAGGCTGTCATGTCGCTGTACTCCTACGGACGCACAACAGGGACTGTGGTGGACTCCGGCGATGGTGTGACCCATACAGTTCCAGTCTATGAAGGCTGCGCTGAATCTGCATTCATGTTTAAAAATGGTCCATACATTCCAAGCCCCATTGGCTGGTGATTGCAGAAAAGGATCGCAGGACAACACGACCTTAAGATGGACTGCAGGCTATGCACTTCCTCACGCGATTCAGCGGCCACACTCTCACATTTGCAGTTGTTGTGGATCTTGTTTGCGCATGCCTCTATTTTGGCTTCTAAGGTTGGATCTTGCAGGCAGAGATTTATCTGAGTACATGATAAAGGCAGGAAGCCACATGTTGGCTGCATGACAGTTGTGACAGCAGGCCTTGTTATGCCATGTGTTCAGATTCTGCATGAAAGCGGGCACAACATGACATCATCCTCTGAGAAAGACATTGCACGAGAAATGAAGGACCGCTGCAGTTTGAGCTAGTCACACAAGAGTCACAAGAGACAATTTTTGCTCAGTCGGATTCGATTCCGTGCGGGAAGGAGACAACCTGCTACGTTTGCAGTGGTGATTGGAAAGCTGAAATGCAGTCTGCCAAGGACCCATGAGCTACGTCATCCAATCTCTGTAGGGAGAGCAGATTTGATGAAAGTTTGCTGTGGTGAGGAGCGTCCAACCGAGTACGAAAAGATTTTTAGCCTGCCAGATGGGCAGCAGGCACGGTAACTGAAATGGAACCTTGATGCCACATCGCTGGCCTTTTCCCAAGGTGGCTCTTTCCTCTGAGCGGTTCCGGGTCCCAGAAGCCAGCGACAGAGACCGGGAAACCCCATATTGAATAGAGTCCCTGCTGTCGAACATCACTATGCATTCACAAGGTCATGTTTGATCCGATGATCGCTGGAAGAGAGCTCCCAGGGCCAGTGATCTTGACTCTCACAGCTCTCACAAGTTTACAGGCGGCATGAACGTCAGCCCCAGGCTGCATCAGTCCATCAACCGTTGTATCCAGGCCTGGCATGCCGCTTCACATGTGTCATGATACCACTCAGATGGAGACAGGCCTGCGAGATCGACCTCCGCAAGGATCTATTCAAGAACATTGTTCTCAGCGGAGGTGGCCAATGGATTGCGTAATTGACCTAGCAATAGGACATATTGGTGCGTGAGGAAATACGATGTTCCCTGGTATAGCTGACCGATTAGAGGCTGAACTCAAGGCCAGCCCTACATCAGCTGGAGGCGTTCTCTCAATGTTGCTGTTTTGCAGGCCCTGGCACCACAAAAAATCACGGTTAAAGTGGTCGCAAATCCGCAAAGAAGGTGCACTTTCATCTGAAATCCAGTGCCATCCACCCTTTTCTTGGTGTCCGCATCATGACAGGTACATCGTTTGGATGGGTGCTTCCATCCTGACTCGACTTTCGAGTTTCCAAAGCATGCTAATCTCGTCTCTGGCTCAGCGATCTCAGCAGTGAAGGGAAGGCTTGAAGGCTGCCCAGGTGGAAGTGTCTCGGACTGATTCGCAGTCAGGAAAGCAGAGTATGATGATGTAGGGCCGGCCGTTGTTCATAGCAAGTGCTTCTGAATCTAGAAGCGCCTGGACCTGTCCAGACTATCGATTTAGGTGACCAAAAGTCTGCTGCAGAATTTCTCGAATTCTTGCCTCTGAAGTTTACCACTGGCGGACGGCAGCTCCTGAGATCCTACCCCCAGATGTTCGCAAGCTCCTCACGCCCCAGCATTGACTTTTGCACTTGGGTAGCCAGAAAGCTATAGTGCAAGGATAGAGATTCACCTGACACTTGTGACGTTGCTCATCCAGAAAAAAACTGATGAATAAGCAAGCTTGCAAGTTCACAGTTTCTGTATTGCAAAAAATCAGGCGCTGTTACAGAGGTCATGTCAGCATGCTGAACAGTGCCTACCAAGCTGGAGAGCAACGCGGCACTTTGAGACTCGTCAGTGGCGCTTGTCCGCCTCGGAGTGCGTGCTGCAACCTCATTTATCTTGACAACTTGCTGCTGCATTCCAGCCTCAATTCAAGTGGCGCATGCCTGCAGAGGTCGATGAGGCTCATCTAACCGTCAATGCACATCATTCGAGCCAACTCTGGCCATTCATGACGAGAGAAGACCTAGTGGGAGAGGAGAAGGTGTTTGCCCATTGCATCAACAGGAATGTACACAACCACCGACAGAGAACGTAGAGATCCTAGTTGGCGCCCTGATGCTCATTTTGGTCGCCTTTCTGAGACTGCAAGCAAAGTGAGCACCAGAAGCTGCGCAGGCGCAGGCGCGACCCAAGAACACTTGAGGTTTGCAACCTATGCTCTCTCTCAGGTTCCTCTTGCGGGTATGCCTGGCTCTCGGCCTTTGAGCCTTTTAGTGCCAGGTCAGAACGCACAGATCCTGAAAGAGGAGAGGGCAGAAGAAGAACCCAAATATTCAAATAGCTCAAGTCCTCTGGCTGCTGGCTACCTCGAAAGGCTGAAGCCCATTGGCTGGCAACCCACCGACAGGCTTGACACCTTGCCAACGTTTCCGACTGACTCAGCACGCATCCTTGCATCCAAATATCCAAGCCTTTGCCACAGGCGAGGCATTTCTAGATTACACGCTTATCAGGGCTCTCACCGGACTGTCGTGCGGAGCGCATACTCGAGGACAAACTTTAGAATCATCAGCCCAGCGAAGGACCTGGACGAACACCACTACCCAGATCTCAGTCAAATTTTAGCAGATCAGAAAACACGGGCGGAGTGGGTCCACGGGCTTGGCATCCCTGCGTAAACCCCTTGCCTCCTTGCTTGCTGACCGTTCTACGCAGCTTTCGCCACTCAGACTTGCTGACTTTAACTTCTTGTCCAGGACAGTTATGAGCCCTGGAATTTTAGATACTCAGAGTTTATTGGTGACAGTCTCAAGCCATTGAACAGAGAGACTTGAATCCAGAACTCGGAAGAAAACTCCTGGTCGGGTTGTGAAGCCCACTGCCTTTCGCACTGTATATAGGTCATTCTACCAAGCAACTCGGACTCACTATGGATACTGTACAGGCAAATTCGTTCAGATAGCTCTTTTGGCAGATTTGAATACAGAATATCCACCTTCAAACCTCAGGCTTTGTGTCTAGAGTCTAGAGCTACAAGCAATCAGTAGAAGCAGATCTGCGCAAGAAGACAGATCATAAATGGTCGCCCTCGTTTTGTCAACAAGAAGCCCACTGATGGCAACTTGAATTTCTCGCGAGATCCATTATTTTGAGAATGCTCATGTAGACCATGTTTCGCCTTTCCAACATTACAAGTCTCTCCGTTGCATTTGGGTTCATAGTCATAAACCGTCAACCCCACAGATATGGAATCCTCAAATGAATTCTTCTATCTCCTTGCATCTCTTGCTCGCCATGTGAGTTTTCCCTCTCAGTTATGCTCAACTGCGCTCGGCAGCTATGCACGGGGGCAAGATCGGGTTGGCAGACCTTGGTTGCAACCAGAGTCCTCTCAACAGAATAGAAAGGCTCACAATATCTCCTTGGGCACTCGAATTGTTCTCTTAGTTGTATGGTTGGTTGGAGTAGGGACTTGTATGCTACTGCTTCTTCATCTACTTCGCTCTTGGGAAATTCTGTCCCACCCTCCCTACACTTGATTTCTTAACCGATTGATTTGGTGGCGGAGGGTCTCGTGTGGACTGGTCTTTCCTTTCAAATTGGTGCCCAATTCTGAGGTGTTCTCTTAACCCCCCCTGGGGTGTACGCGACCTTGTCCATCACTTTTGACATGTCAGTTTTGCAATGTCCTCACAATCGCATGTCTTGGACCCATCGTCTTCTGATGTTTGGTGCTCTCCACTACTATGATGTATCAGTTGTATTCTATGGAGAGGCCTTACGGTACTACTTTCGCATACCCATCTGGCATGATGTAAGGTCAGCCAACGCTCAACGAGCCTGTGGTGGGTGCATGGTACCACCACCACCATCACCACCACCACCACCACCACCACCACCACCACCACCACCACTACTACTACTACTACTACTACTCCTACTGACTTTGATACCAGTATTCCACCACCACTGCGATACGGCAACAATGGTGGCGATGACGACTACTACCGAAGCTACTGAACGAGAAAGAGTACTGAAGCCTAAAACTGCTTACTTTCCAATGCACAGGGGCTGGCTTGAGTCCCATCAGCACCGACTGAGGTTCAGATCCCATAGGGTCAGCTACACATTACGAGGGATGTCGGGAAGGTTTATGAAAAGATTCTCTAATGCCCACGATTGAGAGGAGGTGGTAGTAGTAGTAGTAGTAGGAGGAGGAGTAGGCTCCGGGTAATTTCATGATGGTACACTTTTGTGGCATTGCAAGCCCCGAAATGCTGTAAGTACCAGCACTCGTGGGTTTTAGATGGTGCCAGTTCACTTTCGCTTTATCTTGGCTTTTCTGGTTTAACATGTATTGAACATGCAAACGTTTGCATTGTTGACATCGGCTCCAGTCAGAGTCACGGATGAAACGATCCCTTGGATAAGAATGAAATCAGAACTCCAACGTTGGACTCATGGGGCGTGCCTTGGACTAATGGGGCGATGATAGGATTAAATCAGAACTCCTCACACCCTTGGACTATTGGGGCGAACCTTGGACTAATGGGGTGATGAATAATGAGAAAAAGTCTCCGGGAATCCTACTTCAGGAAACGCGTTTTCCACAAGAAACGTTCAAAATAGGCCCGAACGCACTATAAAACGCAGAAACCATGATCAAGCAGAAACCTGGGGCGTACCCTGGACTAATGGGGCGATGATAGAATTAAATCAGAACTCCTCACATCCTTGGACTAGTGGGGCGTACCCTGGACTGCTGGAGCTATGTTGAAATTAAATCAGAACTCCTCACACCCTTGGGCAAATGGGGCGTAACCTGGAAGAAATGGGCGATGAATAACAAAAAAAACGCTCCCGGGATGCCTACTTGAAAAAAACGTTTTTCTGCAAAAGGGCCCAAAATAGGCCCGAACGCATTATCAAACGCACGAACAACTCAGACCAACAATGATTAGGAAGTGGATCGGCAAGAAAAAGCGCAACTGGACTTTATTCAAAATTCGTGCGAAACCTCAGTTTCAGTAGGGCGAAGTGGAGAAAATGACACCGTCATAAACGCGACCGTTACCTAGTAGTAGTAGTAGTAGTAGTAGTAGTAACCCTCAACACCCTCAGAGTTTGGTGGCACCTCACAACGGGCA